GTGAACAGAGTGATAAAGATCTAAATACAGGGACGTGATTCATGACACAATGTCCAAGCGGCTGTCGTACAAATGTCCTCCACTGTCATCCCTCCATGCGAAGCTGTAGAGGATGAAATCCCTCTTGTGGAATGACCTCTGAGATTCTCTGGAGGCCCCAATCCAGATGCTCTGTAAGCTTCAGAAATAGCCTCACACAGCCAGTGTGAGAGGCGCTGAGTGGATAACAGGCGACCTGCAGAGATGTCCCTACAATGCACAAACAGACGCTGAGTCTGGTGCAGAGGGGCCGTGCATGCTATATAACATGACCACACGCTCACGGGACAGAGGAGATGAAATGATTGCTTCCTCCTCTGATTTGTGAGGGGGGGATAAAACCCCTCCAATGTTATCATTCTCGATTTAAATGAACTTGTGATGTTTTTGGGTATGAAAGCTGGGTTAGGTCTCAGCGCAGCTGAGCTGGCATCAGCTTGAATCCTGAGGCATGACGGGGCAGCAGAGAGCACAGATAAATCAATCACTCTCTTTGCTGATGTCAAAGCCAACAGCAGGGCTGTTTTAAGTGACGGGAATTTAAGTGACACCTGATCTAAAGGCGCCAAAGGATCTTTGATCAGAGCTCGCAGAACCATCGTTAGGTCCCACTGTGGAGCTAGTGGGCGTGACACCGGTCTGTGTCTCTGTACACATTTTAGGAAACGCATCATCAGCGGGTGATTAAAAACTGTTCTGTCACCGAAGCCTTGGTGACAGGAAGAAATAGCTGCAGCATAAGTTTTAATTGTGCTGAAAGCTAGATTTCTGTCCATAAGCTGCTGCAGAAAGGACAACATGCCACCTAGTGGACATGAGATGCCCTCTACAACTTTCTCCGTGCACCAGCGCTGAAAACCTGTCCACTTTGATGTGTACAGTGCTGTGGTGGAAGCAGCTTGTGAGTCTTGGATTGTGCGCACCACTTCCTGAGAGAGACCCATCTTCTCTAAGCGGATCCGCTCAGCAGCCAGACCCAAAGGTGCTGGCCTACTTCTGGGTGACTCCTGATCACACCCCCCTCCCCCCCGCCCCCCGGAGGAAAGCATGGTCCCTATACGGCAGTTTCCACTGTCGACCCGATAACAGATGTTGCAGGTTTGGGAACCACGGGGCGCTCACTTGCTCGGGGGCTACAAGGATGGCTGACAGTTCTTCCTCCCGGACTCGGTTCAGAAACCGTGATATTAGAGGGACAGGAGGAAATGCTTAAAGGAGCATTTTTGGCCACGGGTTGTGGGCAAAATTCAATTCAATTCAGTTTATTTATATAGCACCAAATCACAACAAAGTTGTCTCAGGGCACTTTACAGAAACATTCACAAACATAAAAGCCAATTAGTAAAGTTCTCTATCTAAGGAATCCAGCAGACAAGTTGAATCTTGGCTTCGTTGCAGTCTCCCATCCTGAGCAAGCACAGTGGCAACAGTGGAAAGGAAAAACTCCCTTTTAAAAGGAAGGAACCTCCAGTAGAACCAGGCTCAGGACAAGTGGCCATCTGCTTTGACCGGCTGGTTGAGAGGACAGGAAGGAGAGACAGACGAACACAGAATGGTAGGTCCAGGTATAGGTTCTGGTGTATCTGAAAGACAAAAAAAACATGATAAGGATAGAAAAAATAATTACAAATACAAAACAGGTTGAGCAGAGTAAGTAAAGACAGTAGCAGAGTGAAATTTGTGGTCAGTTTGTCCTCCAGCAGTCTAAGCCTATAGCAGCATAACTAAGGGACAGCTCAGGAAACCCAAGCCGACCCTAACTATAGGACTTAGCAAAAAGGAAAGTCTTAAGCCTAGTTTTAAAACTGGATAATGTGTCAGCCTCACGGACAGAAATTGGAAGTTGGTTCCACAAGAGAGGAGCCTGATAACTGAAAGATCTGCCTCCCATTTTGTTTTTGTAAATTCTAGGAACCACAAGTAAACCTGCAGTCTGAGAGCGAAGTGCTCTGTTAGGAAAATCTGGAACAATAAGATCTGTAATATAAGATGGAGCTAGGTTGTTGAGAGCTTTGTAGGTTAGAAGTAAGATTTTGAATTCTATTCTGGATTTGACAGGGAGCCAATGGAGAGAAACTAAAACTGGAGAAATATGATCTCTCCCACTAACTCCAGTTAAGACTCTGACAGCAGCATTTTGGATCAACTGAAGACGTTTTAAAAATGTATTTGGACACCCAGATAATAAACCTTTGCAATAGTCCAGTCTAGATGTGACAAATGCATGGACCAGTTTTTCTGCATCATTTTTAGATTTTTCTGGGCTCGGTCTGCTGAAAAGAATCAGTTCTAGCTGCTGTGTCAAGCGAGCATTTTGTATGATTTCTCGAGCTGCGGTGACTTTTAAAAACCTGTTTTGAGGTTACTGGCTCATTTTGTGTGGAGGATGTGTGAAGAAAGGCTGCTGTGAGATCATTCGATCTGACAGTCAGGCTGGAATCAGAAGACACTTTATTCACTGAATGATGTTTTCGTTTTATTTTAAAACTCAGGTCACCATTATGCACATACACATCCTCCGCAAAAAGCCATTTCTTGTGTCTTCTCCCCCGTGGGCCCTGCGACTGGTTGTTCCAGGGCGGCGCCTAATGGCTGTCTCTGGGGAAGCGCTGAGTCACTGGTTGTTGCGATGAGAAGGACTGTTCTCTGGCGGGAGGGGCCGGCAGCGGAGCGTGGTGGGAGGTCGCTGCTGCAGCTGTGGAACGTCTCTGCTGCTGCCTCTGGCCACAACGATTTCTTCAGCGGGCGCGGGGGGGGGGGGGGGGGGGGGGGTTTGGAGGGCTGCGGCTTCATCAGGTGGCGCACAGTCTCCGACACCTCCTTCGACTTCTTCAACTTTTCAAGCATGGCCTTGAAATTGGCCCCGAACAGCGCGTCCAACATGATGGGGCCCTCCAGCAGGTCGTTCTGCAGCTTCTCCGGCATGGATGGGGAGAGTCGGAGCCAGGTGGATGTCTGGATCATTGTCATCCAGGCGGCGATGCAAGACAAGCAGACCACAGAGGAGGCACACAGGTTCAGGATGACGTCAGACGCTTTGCAGAGTGAGCTCCTCATCTCCTCAGGCAGGTCTGTGTCCTCCAGCCTTTTGGAAATGCTATAGGCCAGCAGGGCGACATAGTTGTTTGTTGCAGCCGCCTGGAAAGCACACTGGTGGGCTCGATTGGAGAGCGACGTCACCGTCTGGTCGTGTCTCCCTGGAGGGACAGGACGTTAGTCCAACCTGGACACTTTTGCTCCAAGTGCTTCCGCCAGGCTTGGCTCCAGGGGGGGTACTGAGGGAAAGTTCCGCTCAGTAAACCCCTCCACTCTGGTGATGGGGGCGAAGGTGGAGACAGGCACCCTCAGCTTACCAGGTCCGGCAGCAGTCTCGTTCCAATAGGACATCACTGCTGGGAAACGAGGCCAGATGGGGTCAAGGTGGCGAGCCGGGGTGGAGCCAAACCTTCCCGCTAGATCATCCGATCTGGGCGGGGGGAGGAGAGGGATGGAAAGTCCCTTTGTGTCAGCCGCCTCCTGGATTATGCCGGGCAGCTCCGAGAGAAGGGCACCGATGGCTGGGAACGGTGTGTTTGCCGATGTGGAAAGACCCGGGGTGGGATGGCATCCCCCCCCCCCCCCCGTTCCAACACTACGCTCTCCAGGAGGGAATGAGCAGCAAGCAACATTTTTCAGTCAGGTCATCTGGACAGTTTCTCGTTTTTGCTGAAACGTTTCACCTTCCATCTGGAAGGCTTCATCAGTCAAGGAAACACACAACACAAAACTAATTCTTCCCCCATATATATTTGGGAGAATCCTGACATTTTAAACTTTTGCTGTTATAGGTTGTATGAGGCAGAGGTTTTGTGTGAATGGCTCGTGGCAATGGAAAGCTGTTTGGGGGAAGAAACAGTTTTGTGTTGTGTGTTTCCTTGACTGATGAGGCCTTCTGGATGGAAGGTGAAACGTTTCAACAAAAAAAAAAAACTGTCCAGATGACCTGACTGAAGAATGTTGGATTGTATGCCTGGATTATTGAGCATGGACTATTTTGGTACTGCA